GGAATTTCCAATGGGGCTCTAAGGAAGACAAACCTACTTCCTTCCTTGTCCTCCGGCCTCCCTCCACGTCCCAAGTTGTCATCAATGAATAAATAGTGGATTCTGCCCTCTGGTATTTCACTCACCCGGTGTAGAGAACCAGGTCTGGTGACTAAACTGCCTTTAGAATGTAGTCCTTTCAGTACCACCTCATCCACAGCTCCAAAAGACACGAAGGGCTGTGCAGTGTCTAAAATAAAGCAGGGGTTACGAAAGGACCGCTAAGTCCAGCTTCCAAGAACTTGGTCTTTTTTTAATTTACTTATCTATTGCTACTCAAGTATGCTGAGTTGCGTTGAATAAAACGGGGCCTCTTGGTCAGAGGCCTAGGTAGCTTTCTCTTTAGACTCCAATCCCAGGGAATAGTACGCAGGCGGACCCCTAGACTTAGGCAGTGCAGACATTTCCCTGAGAACGAAACCTTTGAAAGGAGCTAGTCACTGCCCAGGCCCAGACCCAGCCTGTGCCCGCTGTTGCCCAGAACCCAGTTCTGCCTGGAGCTGCTGGCCACTCTGTCTTTTCCTTGTCCCTGCTTGCCTGGAGACCCTGCCACCCTTCCCCCTCTCTGCGCCCACTTGTTGCGGTCCCGCCTGGGACCTGCTAGGTTTCCCGACTGATTGTAAAAGGGTTTGGCTTGAGGCTGACCCCAGGTCAGGACTTTCTCCGTCGTAATCCTGCAGTCTTTAACACAAACCGCTCTTTTCTTAATTCCCCAACGGCCTCCGGGCAAGCATGGACATGAGTAAGGTGGACGCCAAGCCCTTACTTGCCACCCCCGGCAAGGATGGACGAGCTGTAAGAAGGCACGGATCGCCCTAAACCTGTGCCTCCGACGGAGCGGCTGGGCTGGAGAGCGTGCGAGTGGGGAGGAGAGGGGCCTAGGAGGCGGGAAGCGGACTGAGAACCAAGACAAAGGGAGGGCCTGACAGCGCGTGGAGGGAAAGCCAAGCAAGAGCAGAGGCTGCAGACGGGGGACTAGGGGAAGGGAGGGGATGGAAGGACGTGGTGGACAGGAGAGTAGTGAGAGGGACGTGAGAGCAGAGCGAGGTGCGGGCCTCAGCAGACAGCAGAACCACAGAAGCAAGCACGGGGGACTTGGGACTCAGGAGGCAGCGTGAAGATCCACGGGAGGACGGTCCGCTCCCCAAGGGGTCCTGGCTCCAGCGCCAGGGACGAAGGATGCTGTCCGCCGCCGCACTGCCCTGCTGGCTCTGGGGGCGGCTGAAGCCCGAGTCCTGCCGGGCGCAGCTGGAGAGGAAGGGCCGGGCAGGAGGAGGGAGGAGGAGGGCTGAGAAGAGAGGGAGGAGTGAGGCTTCCCAGCCTCGAGCTGGGGAGGCAGCCTTGAGTGGCGCCGCAGGAGCCAGGGACAGTCCACCCGCCACCCCGCACAGAGGGACTCTGGCATTCTCTCCCCGGGGTCCCGCGCTGCGCCTCTCTTCCCCATCCGCCCGCTCTCTCAATCCCGCCAAGTAGTCCCTGAGCCAAGGCCAAGTCTGCTCCCCTCCTGAACTTTCCCAGGACTCTAACCTACGGTTAGATTCCACCGCGGGGCTCCCGGACACCCGCTGCGGAAGCTGGGTTGGGGAGAGGGCGTGACCACAAGAGCTCAGGGGCCCCGAGCCAGCAGTGCTTAACCCGGGCTGGACAGAGCTTGCTTTCCTGCGTCCCCAGAACATGAGTGCTGGGGAGGGCTTCTCGAATAAACTGGAATTTTCCGGAGACAGAACTCGGCAGTGCCCAGTCTTTGTCGGGGAAAATGAAATGCGTGAATCTGAGTGTTATTCTTCTCCCACACGCATGATTTTAATAGACCTATCAGTCACATCCCGACACATCTGCAGATCAGGCGCGCTGCGCCCGCAACTCCTTTAAAAAAATTAATTCGTTTCATCTGCCTACTAGTGGGTTTGAGGGAGGGTGTCAAAGTCTCAGTGGCAACAATAAAAAGGGACCAGTGAGTGAATTTTTTTTTAAGTGAGCAAAGAAAGGGGAGGAGGAGAGAGGGAGGGGGATAAGGGGGTGGGGGTGGGGAGGCGACCCCCAGGGAAATCACCCTGCTCAGTTTACCGGTGAGTTCAGAAGCCACCCAGGCACCCTACACCAAGTTATGCAAACTTTATCCACTCTTCACAAAGATCCTGCCCCATTTAAACAAAATCGCGCTAATAGAAAGAAACACCGCCCGTGCTTTGGAAGGAGTTATCCTGTCATCATGGCCGTAAAGAACCTAATGGAACGAAAATGTGCATTGCTCTGTTAGGTACTGAATTTATCCCTGAGTTGGGCTCTAAGTTAAGGCCTAGGAGAAAATTCTTTCCACTTATGTAAACTGGAGAGAGCCTGTCCGGATTTGGCCTCAATCTTGAGAGAAGTAGTCTCCCTCCCCCAGCCCCCACCAACCCTCCTTCTGTATTGTCTTCAAATTAAGTCATTAGAGAATTTCTCCTTGTCTTTCACCTCAGTAGAACCCAAAGGAAGGTGGCTTGAAGGCCTGGCACAAAGAATTCCTGCTCACTGGGTGGAGCTCAAGCAGGGAACACAAAACTCTGAAGGTCTTGAGGGGGGTGCTGAGGGGGGCTGAGCTGTCTGGTACTAACAAGATGACTAACTTTATGTGTGGTGCTTCACTTAAAGTGGGCCATAACTCCTACGGCAGTCAGCCCTGGTTTAGTTGCCCATAGCCAAGGCACACACAGGAGCCCCAGAAGCCCAGGCATAACAGAGGTGAGTGTGGCCACCTTTCATCCCCACTAAAGAAAGAACCTGGTAGTGTTGGGGGCCAGTCAGCAAAGGTCCTTGTGTTTTAAGGGAGAAGTGGGTTAGACCCTAAACACTCTAGAATTTTCTAGAGGCTACTGGGGCACTTCTAGACTGCCTCAGAGCTTGCCCCCCCCCCACTTGGGCTCATAAGCAAGCAAAGCAGCTCTAGAAACAACAGAGCAAAACCCTAAAGGAAAAACAAAGAAAGGGAAAAAGGGGGGTTGTTCTTTTATTACCTCACCAGAAAGCAGTGGGCGTCATTCTTGAATCTCTTGCAACCACTTTAAGGAATGAAGGGTTTAAGCAAAATCATAAAAATGACTTAAAAAAATCACACGTGTCACTTGTAATATTAGCACTTATACTGAAAGATACTGAGTTGATAGATTAAGTTCACTTTTGAATGGTAGTCCGTATTCATTCCAAGAAAAGAAATTGGGAAAAAAATGAGGGGGAAGGATGCTGAAAATAATATCATTCCCCATCTGGACTTAAAGAAAATTTCCTTCAAAAATAGAATTTCATTCTAATGTTGTGATTAATTTTAAAACATATTTGCTACAGTATAACTTTTAAATGCAATATTTAATGCTGTCAGGTTACTTGAAGACAAAGTTTTACAGGAAACTTTAAATTCCAGGGGGAAAAAAACCTGCAATATACCAATAAACACCTAGAAAAAATATAATTAAAAATATTTAAAGCATCAAACAACCTCAAGATCTGGTCAGGAATGATAAACACCACATTTTGTGTTTGCATTCCCTGGCGACCTGCATCCCGGTTCACACAGGAGAGGAGGTGGTTGGGTGGTTGTAAGAAAATCGGTAAAATTATGTTGAATTTTTTCCCAGAGAGGAAACGGGAAGGGCTGGGGTAATACCTGGGTGAGAGATTCTGTGGCGGTGTGGTCTGGGTCAGAATTGCTTTCTCGATCCATAGGAAGATAATTTCACTTACACTTCCAGTTACAGAGAAATCAAAGGCACGCTGTCTTGGCGGTGGCTGTTGTCCCTATCCTTGGCGTTGTCTCACCACTGCGCACTGTCCTTTCTCCTTCCAAGACCAAGCTGCCTCAAAACTGCTACATACAGTACGTGAAGGGCAGAGTCACAGGAAAGAAACACAAACAAATGCCGGGACCGTGGCAGTTAAAATGCTAAATCATTAGGAAGCGTTTTGTAATTACTTCCCTTCTGTGTACTTCGACTCTACAGAATCATTTACGGAGTTTAGATTTCTCTTCCCCCACTGACTAAAGCCACGGAAGCGCTGCCCTCTGCTTGGTGGGGCTTCTTTACTCTTGGGCCCTGATGATAATCTCTCCTCCGACAGATTGCTGATTGTATTTTGAACTCATAAAACATGCATATAAAATTAGCACGTTTCGATTTCATAGGGAAACGGGCTTTTCTCTCTTAAAAGTATTGATTCAAATTTGATGCATTTTTTGGGGGGTATCTCTCTTTGTTTTTTTCGTTTTTAGATGAAAGACTTGCAGGCTATGTACATCATCCAACTCCTCGCCCCCCCGTATAGCAACGCCTAAAATAAAAATGTCACAACGCATTTACAAGAAATAATACAAAACAAAACAAAAAAATTGGAAATGCTCGGATACAGAGTTTTACAAAACCCAGAATATAACTCCACCGTCTGAGAGGGGATTGCGGTATAAATTAACCAACCAACCCAAAAGAGCGGTAACAACTACAAAAAACTTGTAAATGTTTGAATCTGCCTTACTAGATTTATAACAAGTGAGAAGGGTTCGAGGTCGGTCACTCGGCCTCAGGCAGAAGAGCCGGCGGGAAGCAAACCCCGGAAAAAGTTACAGAGCCGGCAGTCATACAAAAGTTGGCATCGCCTCGCTGGGTTTTTTTTTTTTTTTTTTGTCTTTTGTCCTCCCGAGCCGAGAAAACGCTGTGTGCCTCCTCTGCGGACGATAAATACTGTACAAAAGGTCTCGTGAAAACACAAAGTTCAGTCTAAGAGGCCAGTTTGGTGTCAGCGCCTCGGAGTCCCGGGAAAGGTGATGGGGGCAGAAGTCACCTGGCGCTCCGCTCTCCGGAGCGGTCTTTTTACCGGAGCTCGGGGTCGTCTGTACACAGTCGGGCTCTGGAGGCGAGGGCGCAGGCCTCACGCTCTTCGTCGCCGGGGCGCCGGCCTTGAGCCGCAGTGTCCCCGGCGTCCCCGCGGCGCTAGATGTGAGTCAGGGGCACCGTGCCGTTGACGCCCGCGCCCGCGCCCTGGTAGTGCTGTGGCAGCGAGTGCAGCCGGCTCTGGGCCGCGGCAGCCGCAGCCGCTGCCGGATCGCCTCCCTCGCCGGCGGGCAGGTACATGCTGATCATCTCGCGCAGGTCCCCGGGACACGGCGCCCGCGAGTGAGCCGGGGCCGGCGGACTGCCGCTCGGCTCGGACTTGACCAGAGAACCGAGGGCGCCCAGGGCACCCGACGACGCGGCCGCCGCCGCCGCCGCGGCCGCTACCGCCGAGTTCTGGTGCGCGCCGCCCGCGGCGGCGGCGGCGGCTGCCGCGGCACCGTAAGGGATGCCGCCGTAGCCCGAAGGCGACGCGCTCATGTAGCCCTGAGAGTTGGAGATGGGGCTGTACTGCAGCGCGCCCATGTCGTAGCGGTGCATGGGCTGCGGGTTGTGAGGATGCGCGTGCGGATGGTGCGGGTGCGGGTGCGCCGGGTGCGCGTGCGGGTGCGCGCCGCCCGCGCCTGGGTGCTGCCCGTAGGCCAGCTGTGCCTCCTGCATCATGGCCGCGGCCGCTGCCGCCGCGGCCACCGAGCCGGGGTAGGCGCCGTTAGCCCAGCCGTTGACATGCGCGTAGCCTCCTCCCGCCGCGCCGCCGGGGCTCTCCAGGCGCTGGCCCACGGCCGCCGCCCCGACGCCCACGCCCACGCCCATGGCCACGGCCGCGCCGCCGCCACCTGCACCGGCCGCCAGCAGCCCGCCGGCCAGCGAGTACTTGTCCTTCTTCAGCAGGGTCTTGGTCTTGCGGCGCGGCCGGTACTTGTAATCCGGGTGCTCCTTCATGTGCAGCGCGCGCAGTCTCTTGGCCTCGTCGATGAACGGCCGCTTCTCGGCCTCGGACATGACCTTCCACTCGGCCCCCAGGCGCTTGCTGATCTCCGAGTTGTGCATCTTGGGGTTCTCCTGGGCCATCTTGCGCCGCTGTCCGCGGGACCACACCATGAAGGCGTTCATGGGCCGCTTGACCCGATCCTGGTTGGCCTTGGTGCCCCCGCCGCCGCCGCCGCCCCCGCCCCCACCGCCGCCCCCGCCCGCCCCGGCCGGGCCCGAGAGGTTCGTGGGTGCCTGGGCGCCGCCGGGCGAATGCAGGTCGGTCTCCATCATCATGCTGTACATCTGGGCGGCTAGCGGGTTCACCGGTACCGCAAAGAGAGGGCCTTGAGCATAGACGGCCGGGTGGGGGTGGGTGGGTGGAGAGAGGATCAGCCCAGAGAGACTGGGGGTGGGGTGGGTGCCTAGCAGAGAGAAGGGGGTTGGGTGGAGGCCACAACGACAACAACAACAACAACAAGAACAACAACAAAAAAGAGGCAAAAGCACACGCACTTAGCGCGGGTCCAGCTCGCAGGTGGAAAGTTTCTCCGGGTGCACAAACCACTTGCCAAAGAGGCCAATGGCCAGGATGATTGTCACCGTTGCCGCTGCCGCAGTCCGGTCGCTCAAGGCTGAGCTGTGCAGACAGGTGCAGTCGTGGCCAAGTTGAGGCTCCACTTTCTGGGTCTGAAGCGGTGCCCCCGGGGCCGATGCGGGGCTTGCTGCCTCCTCTTGGCGGCTCGAAGTCTCCTTCCTGTGCTGGCTTCCTTGGCCGCTTCCAACTCTGGGGCCGCAACTTCTAGCAAGGCGGTGCGCCGCGTGCGCTGGGCATGTGCTGGTCCCAGGTGCCTAGGGGGAGCCAGGCGCTGAGGGGGACTCGGAGGGGGGGGGTTCGGAGGGGGCGATCGCGGTGCAGCCAGGGAGGGGGGTTAGGGACAGCGGTGGGAGTGCCAACGCGAGCAGAGAGCCAGAGAGCCGGGCCGCTGTGCCCAGGACAAGCTGTCCGCTGCCTGCCCGAGGCCGTGCGCTCGGAGCGGAGGCGCACGCGGGGCCGGTGGCGCGGGGGGCCCAGCAGCCATACGCCGGGCCCGGGCTGCCATTAAATGAGCGCGCCGCGGCCAATGGGAGCCGGCGGCGGCGGTGATTTGCATGGCGCGCTGGCGAGTGACGTGGGGAGGGAGTAGATACACTGGGCGCGGGCGGCGGAGCAAGGAGGTGGAGGAGGAGAGAGCGGGGTGTATGTGTGGGGGGGAGCAAGGGCAGGAAGGAGGGGGAAAAGGGGGCGCGGGGGGGCGGGGTCACAGCCACACTGCTTCCTGAGCGCGCGCGCGCCGCGGCGACGGCGGCGAACCCGGAGCTCGCCCCCTTCGCCTCTCCCCGCCTGCGCGCTCCGAATGATTAACGATTGGGTTGAAAACCAAGAGGAAGAAAGATTCGCTGTCGGGGAGGAGGGAGAGGAAGAGGGGAGGAGGGGGGAAATACAGCCTCGGGTCGTGTTTAAATGCGCTCATTGGAGACCCAGCTCCTCCCCTGTCCCCAGCCAGCCAACTCTGCGCCCGCTGAGAAGGGGGAAAGTTGGAGCTAGAGGCCTCACTTTGCACTCAGCTCAGCCGGGAGTGCAGACTAACAGCGGTGCGGGGGAGATCCTCCCAGGGGGAGCTTAGGCCCAAAGTACCTCTGCTGGGTTTCAGGCCAAGCCGGGCCGCTCAGCCTCTTCCACCCCCGGCGTTTAGTGCATTCTCAGAGCCTGCAAAGGCCTTTACAGATTCGGGATCTATAATTCGGGTCTCTGTGGCAGGAGGTGCGGCGGTTTTTGTGTTGTGCAGCGCTTCTAGCTCCCTTATCTACTCTGAACTTTCTTGGGGGAATGGAGGGGGTGTCTTTTAATGGAGCGGAGTATTATAGTCAGGTCCCAATTTACTCTCTATCCTCTTGAATTTCTGCGAAGGTCAAAACCAAGATCTATTTGGAATCTAGTTACTCCGACAGCCAAAAAAGTTTGCTGAAACAGCAAAAGAATACCTACCTAGCCTATGCTTTTTCTGAAGCGATTCTCCTAGAAATTGTTTGCCAAAGGATTTTGAAAACCGTGTGAACTCGGGGTTGCGGGGGTGGGGGTGGGGTGCCGGTGCTGAAACGGAATTGGAAAGTGGTGCTTCCTGGTCAGATGACAGGGCCGCCTTTTGTTTGTTTGTTTGTTTGTTTGTGTTTTGTTGTTTCTTCCTATGTTGTGAAAAGGAAAGGCCAGTTCTGGGGATGATCAAGGCATACACAAACGGCTGTAATCCATGAATCTCAGAAAAGTATGATTCCGGGATGTACAAGAGATTTCCAACTCCACCCCAGGCTACTTGGGGTCAGACCACCATGTCAAAAAAAAAAAAAAGAAAAAAGAAAAAAAGAAAAGAAAAATGGAGAGTTGATGTAAAGCCTTCTTCCAGAAAGACCCTTAGAGTCTACAAGTTCTTCAGATGTCCTGGGGCGGGGTGGGGAGGGGAGGGGGATAGAGGGTGAGTTTCTACTCTAAGTTGTAGGCGCCTCAGGAGACTGCTGGTGGGTAAAGAAAGCCTAGTCAGATGCCTGCAGACCGCCTTGCGTGTAATCCAGAGGCTCTTCTGATGACGGAGATAACCCGGATAATAGCAAGAGTACGGTGTTCCAGTATGTTGGACGCTGAACATGTGACAGTTCTTTTTTCCTCCTATTAACAAAAATATCTGAGGGTGTGAATTTCCTGACCCTGTTGCTCCCGTCCTATGATTATTGCAGGGGTTTATTTTATTTTATTTTATTTTATTTTATTATCTCAGCACAGTGCGGCAGCAAATCCATCCCTCTGCCGATTGAGCTTTCGTTTCAGACCATTCAGTACTTACTAGTAAACTCATCAAATAATATAGAATTATGCTCGAAAGGAAACATCGGTTCACATTCTTATAAACACCTAGGTTATAAACTTGGTTTTCAGCTACCTTCTTATTTCAGCCATCAAGTTTTTTAAATCTTTTGATTTGTTTCATGAACTACCTACAAATATCAGTTACATTGTAAATGAACAGAACGAATAGAACTATTGTTTAAGAATGCCGTAGGACCATTTTCCTTGGATAACTTAGGAGGTGATGGGTGTGCAGAGAGATCCACTGTGTTAGGAGGAGTCAGCAAGACTGAAATAAAGGAAACGGTTTACAAATTATAAACTATATTATCCACTTAGCAATTGAAAGATTTCTTTCCCGTGCTTTTCAATTTAGATTTTAAACTAAATAGCCAAAGACCCCCTGAAAACGCTTTGTATAAATCAAGCTTGGCACATTATTTTCCATATCAATGGGGCAATTTATTTTATAAACACCCTGCACTCCAGTGAGCTTTGCAGGAATGCTTTCTGCTTTAAGAAACTTGGATAGGTGACTTTGAAGTGGCCTCATTTCTTCCTACCATAGCTCTGAACATTGTTTCCAAATAGGATGTTACTCTTGCTTTCCCGAACATCTAAATAGTAGGTAAATGGCGTCTCATTGCATCCTGCCATGCTGGTGCTTGTCATTCTGGGAGCTACTATGCAGAAGCAAGTCCAAGCCGGTGCAAACCCAGGGGGTCCACCTGCAGAAGTATGAAATCAAAGATGCAGGTGTAACCTGTTGCCAAGTGACAGAAGATTGGTGGTTGCGGTCTGCTCCAACTAAGCAGTGGTAGGCATGGTGAGCCAGACTTCCTTGTGCCTTCCATCCTGGTATGAACAGTGAGTCCTGTCAGTGACAACTTCTGGAAGCCTCCCTCCGTTTCTCACTCCTATGCTGTCTTCCCCAATGGCTCTTCATACACACAAAGAGAACAGTCTACAACCAGTTTGATAAACACTCCCTCTGCTTCCCACCCCACCCCCCCACTGGCTGGGTGGGACTGCCTTCCAGCCTAATGCTGTCCTAAAAACTATATTCTTTAGGATTTGAAAACTGTACTGCATCCAAGTAAAACTAAAAAAAAAAAAAAAAAAAAAGTTCAGAACGCAAGGCAAAGGATTAGTTTCACTGTTGACTGACCAATCTTTGTTCTCTCAGCAACTCAGCAGCCTCACCGTGCCATTGCTCAGAAGGCCAAAGACCGACTTTACAAAGTGACTAAGTTTTTTATTCAGCCTATGGTTACAATCCTTCGAAAATTCAAGTCAGCTCATTGCTAGAGGAAATTGTTGTGTGTGCAGGTATGAGTGTATGAGTGCTTATGTATGTAAATGCTCATAGACAAATTATGAAGGCTTGTATATATGAAATTATGTGTCTAAGCTCTTGCACAAAAGTCTTGACTTTCAAATAAACCAAGACCTGGGTTTTAAATATGTGCGACTCGAATCCCTGACACAGAATAACCAATGCTTTCGCTCCTTTACACAGGTCTTTGTGCTCATGAGACAGAGAGGGCCCCTGTGGACAGAAGCCCTTGTTCCTCTTTTTGAAGGCTGGCTCTGATAGATCCATATGCAGGTTTTTAAGCTCAGTATTAGTCTTTCAGGCTCCGAACAAGTTTGGTACATTGAGGTTCTTAAGGACCATGCCAGACTAGAAATTATTTCATAGAGGGGGTTCAGATTATCTGCCCTGATGACAATCTCCTGGCCATACTCAGAAGAGTCTCTAAAGGCTGGTGGGGCACTTGGAGGACAGAGGATACATGGAGGTGCCTCCTGGGAGCTCCCCGGGGCAAAGATTCCCAGGCTCTGATGTACACTCAAAGGGCTGAGAGAATAGTTGAAGAAAGATCTTTAGCGAACCGGGAGTTTATGGCGGGACCGTGGAAGGAGAAAGAGTTTGGCAGCAGGAGGAGGAAGCGGCAAAGAAAGCTTAAGCGAGAGATAAAGCACATCGGAAGACGTCTCTGAGGTCACCTCGGCCAACAGGAGGCGCAGATTCAGGGCGGGATGGAAGCAGAGCGCATCCGAGAGGGGCGGACCTAGAGGCTGCGATTCCCTGTCCTGGGACCTGCTGCAGGGAGTGGAGGGATGCTCACTGGACCCGAAGGCCCTAGGCCTGTCAGTACGGACCCTGCTGCGGCGCGGGCCGCGATCGCCGTCTGCTGGCCGCCACCATCCTCTCTGTCCTCGCGGAGCCACCTCGGGCTGTCACCTGTGTGGCGGAGGCGCCCCTCGCCCAACTACTGCCATCACAGCGTCACTGGAGGGTTGGCGGCCCGCAGTTCGGTGTTTGCTTTTTCAGCTTGTGCCTCTGACCCCGGTCTCTAAGCGGGCATCTTTTGTCCTGGGTCGTCTCCAAGTCTTCTCAGCCGATCTCCTGGGGCCCAGC